AGGCACAACGTTCTTCCGGATCTCACCCAGGAACCACGACTGAACGCAGCCCTGCCGCCTCCCCAACCCCCGGCCCCCCGCAGGAAGGTTGTGCTTGGACAGCCTGCTCTGACACTTCAAAGCACCTGCGCAGACAAGTGAACGCTGGTTAACCACGGGCTTCCTCCCGAGCCCGAGCCCGAGCCCGAGCGCCGTGTGAATGCCCGGCCGCGCCCAGCGCAGCAGGCAGGGGCTCCCTCCAGGGTCGGTGTCACTCTGCCTCCCAAGACCGCGCTCTGGTGCCGCGGGCGCCGCCCACGCCCCTCCACCCGCCCGCCAGCGAGGCCCTGTATCATCGGACCCGGGCCCTCGGAGACCCCGCCTCCTGCTGTCCTTCGTCTGCATCCAAGGGGCGCTTATCTCCTTTGGCTCTTGCGCACGCCCTGTGCTCTGGGCCCCACGCACGCCGTCCCTCTTTTTGGGACACCGTTCCCTCGGCTCATGCCCGTTGGCTCCTGGCTGCCCCTCGGTCCCCCTGTGGGCGTCCCTTCTGCCGGGAGCTTCCCTCGTGCCCAGCGCGGCTCATTTTCCATTCCCACAGGTGCTTCTCTAACGTGATTGCCACACGCTGTGGCTTAACCTGCGTCAGTCCCCTGAACGGAGAGACAAGGCCTGTTCTGGGCCCTCCGTGTACCCACCCCTGCGAGGGCCACGTCACAGGCCCTGGTCCACCTGAGACTGAAATCACCTGACCCCACCAGGGCGATCAAGCCTCTCATTATAAATGTCGAGACCTCGGTGCTGTGCACCCTCCTGTCCATCCCGCTGTGAGTGCCTCCCCGAAGGAGCCTTCGTCCCAGCTGCGTCTGCGGTCTCCCCACCGGCCATGGGGTACCCCTTCCTTCCAAGGGGACAAATCTGAAAATCCCAGGTCTGGGTATTTCTCGTTATACAGTCTAGTAAACTTGGATTTTTAGGTCCCACTCAATAGCTGTCCTGGGAAGGTTTAAAAACAAACACCAACAACAATGCGTAAGGAGGTTCAGGAAGTAGCGCCACCAAGCCATTGACCTGCAGTTGCAGGGGAGCCTGCAGCCCCAGAGCCCAGCAGGTCTGGCGCCTCCCGGCTGCTGCACGTGGCGCTGCATTTCAGGGCCCGTCCCTCCGTGGCACCAGCTTCATCTGGGGTGACCCGGACCTGGCCCTGAGCCGGCAGTGGGGCCCCGCCTGAGCCTCAAGTGCCTGAAGGACATCCCACGGGGATCGGCAACAGACAGTGAGCTGTGCGAGTCAGAGGCTCCAGAAAGCTCACCTGTACATGTGCGGGTCGCTGGGAGAAAGGGCGCGAGGGGGAGTCGGGGACCGCCCCCCTCCCCCGCCTCCGCACGGCTGCACAAGGCAGGGAGGTGGAGCGAGAGCATCCATGCTGCAGAGCCGCCGCCGGCAAGGGCGGGACAGCCACTCGGGCTGCCCCTCGGCGATGTAAGAACCAGCCGTCCACCACGGCTGAGAAGGGCAAGCAGGCAAAGGCGCGGAGACAGGCGCCTCTCCCTGCTTGGCTTCTGTCCCCTCCGCCCCCACACAGAGCCCCGGGGCTCAGGCAGGGTGGCGTGAAGGTGGCCAAGGGGACGTGTGGCACTACACTGATACAAAAATCTTGATATATCCTTGCATATTGGTGATGTCCAAGATAATACATGTAACTCTTCCCACCATGTTAGTTTCCTAAAGAGTTCAGCAATTTCACCAAATTGTTGGTCTTCAAGGAAAGAAAAACATTAATTTGATCAGCCAAGATAATTGAGCATATCCTATAAGCAGTGTTTGCCGATCACGTGGTATTGGGGTGGGGGGTAAAGCAGAAAACGTGCTGCTCTCGTGAGCAGAGAGAACAGACTGCGAGTCTCACACACACACACACACACACACCCCCCGTCCTGGAAACTGAGGCAAGGTGAAAGGTCGGAGGGCCACGGTAGGGGCGGCCTCGGCTTTTGATCGGAGAGTTAAATGACAAGAGTCCCCAAGGTGTGCGTCTGGGAGCAGAGCCCTCCAGGCTGAGAGGGTGCCGGGCCCCCACGTCAAGGCAGGCTGGGGGGTGGGCGGTAAGTGGTGCACACGCGTCCCGGACGAGCGCAGCAGGCGCCTCGGAGTAGCCCCCAGGGGCCAGCGGTCTGCATTTGGCCAGGTTGCTGCCTCCACTCTTCACAGCCGCTCTCCTTCCTCGCAGTGACGGGGGAGGGGCAGAAGGAAGAATGGAAACTGTTACTCGGTTTCCTTTTCCTGTGCACACTCCTGCCTCCGTCCTCTCCTGCCCCACCCCCTCCGCTCCCCTTCCCTCCTGTTCCCCCCGAGCCCATCTCCCCGCCTCTACTGCCCTGCACACCTCAAATTTCCATCTCCTATTTGCATCCTTTATTACAATGTCTCTCTACCTTCTTAAAGGCTGAAAAGTAAAAATTATCCTTGAGAGATAAAGGTAATAGAGTCTGTCTACATCTGTGGAGAGCAGCAGTTTGTATTTGCGTTATGTTATAGCAGAAGTAACCGCATGTGCCGCAACTAAGAGGAAGGATATGGGGGGGCAGGGAGAGAAGGATGTGTCGCGTGTGGCTTTGCTACGTGCTCACAGACATGCAGTCCGTGCCCCCCGCCCCCGGGCCTCGGACGCAGCTGACCTCCCGCTATGAGGCCCCCCGGGAGCCTTGACCCTGCTTTCAGCCTGCGCCTGAAATGCCTTACTTCAATCTGCCTTATATTCCAACATATAGGCAATAATAATGTCCCCAAAAGGTGACCAATCGCCACAGTGCATCAAGTGGCAATCGCTTAAACCGCTGAAAACCTCGTGTAAATGAACAGCCTCCCCATCTCTGCTCAGACCAGATGCTTCCAGCTGCTTCTCCTGCGCTCGCCCCTCTGGTCACCTCTGTGGGGACGCCTGGCCCCCCCTTCTGCTGTCCTGCCCTGGTCCCCGCTCAATGCAACCGATTCCCGGGGCCCAACCGGGACGGGCCCCGTCTGGCCATCTCAGCGCCCGTGACCAGGCACTGAGGAGGCCTGGGCCTTGGTTATCGTGGCAAAGGCGCCTCATCTGGGACGTTAATGTGGCCGTCTGTCCGGGACCCATGCGGAGGCTGAGGGCATCTGCGCCCATGAGGAGGCGCGGAAGAGCTGTCTCACCTTCGTGAGGTTCCATCTTGCCCTTTCCAGTCATTTTCCAACCCAGTATCTCTTTTAAAAACGCGGATGTCGTCCCGCGGCTCCTCTGCTGGAACGCTTCCCTGGGTCCCAGCCGCGCCCACCGTGGGGTCTCGGCCGCGCCCCCAGATGCAGTGGGAGAGGCCCGCGTCTTCCCCGGCCCCTTCGTCAGCCCCTCCCAAGGCTCCGGCCAGGCCGCCTTCGCCAGGCCCCCGGGCAACACGTTTCCCGCGCCCCGGCCTCTCCCCACAAGCGGCCCCTGCCCCCGACCATCGGCGCAGACGGGGTGACTCGCTTCCTCCTCAGGCCTCGGTCGGGGCGCCCTCCTTCGCCCATCCTCCCCGCCCAGGGCCGTTGCTCTCCAAAACACAAAACTTTTTTTTTCCTTAAAGCACCATCTATACATTTTTTATTTATTTTGGGTCCACCTGGGGAAATAGGAACCGTATCCGTTTGTTTTAACAGGCAGAATTGAATGTAGAAAATGAGCCAAACGGTAGGGGCAACCTGCAAAGACGACAACCGGAGACTGAGGCGCCACAGAGACCGGAACCGCGGGACGCAGCCGGGTGCCGGGGGCTGGGACCCAGGGCTTGGGGGCGCGCATCCGTGAAGACCCGGCCCCCGACGCACGGTCTGGGTGCTGCCTGGCCGGGGGCGAGGGGCCGGCCAGGGAGGGTGGACGGAACTTGAAACCGCAAAGAGCGGTGATGCTGGGCAAATTGCAGGGCCACAGCACCGGCCTTGGAGGACAGGGCACAAAAACAAGCCCCCAGAAGCTCTGCCCAGGGCCCCTACTGCCCAGCCCCCGCAGGGGCCACCGTCGGGGGCGCCCCTGCTGCGCAGAGCCCCAGCCTGAGCACTGCGGGGTTGGAGATGAGACGCCAGAGCTTAGGAGCTGGCACAGCGCTTATTTTTTGTTTGTTTATTTTCTTTCTTTCCCATGCACCGCACAGGAAACAGCAGAAAGACGTATGCAATACATATTCCTTGGATGGAGGCATTTATTAGATTTTTTCAAAGCTACTTAGCAAAATGGACAGGTCGCTTCTTGTCAATCGAACAGGACAGACGCCTCGTGCGGTGACCCAGGCATTGGGGCGGAGGTGTGCGTGTGAGGCAGCTCCTTGCCATTTGGTAGGGAAGTTAAAACGTTCTCATGATACGTATTTAAATAGTGAAATGCCATAGCAAACATCCACGTGTTTAAATGCTCAAAAAGTGGAACAGGCAGCAGAATCTACAAGCGATCAGGAAAGAGGAAGATGAGGAAAGACGAAGGCCGAGCGGCCTGGGCTGTCAGACAACCTGCAGAAGGAGCAGTTCCGCAATGATGCCGACGAAGGTGGAGACGAAGAAGCCAATCATCGGAAAAGCAAGTGGGAACCCACTATGAAAGTCCACGAATTCTGCAGCTAGAATTATGCATGTTACGTCTTTTGCAAAAGAAGATTTTGGGTGAAGGATTGCAGTGGCCACTGAATGTGTTCTCTGAAAACATGTCCGGCAGCTGCGTGGAGAACTGCGGAGCGTGTGCACGCACCCAGGGTCGCAGAGACGGGTCTGGGGACGCGACGAGCCCCGGAGCCAGGGAACAACGGTGCAGAGGGGAGAGAGAGGCACCGTGAGTGGGCGGCTCAGTGCAGCACAACCGTGCGCACGGGGGGCCAGGCGGGTGGGGGCGGGGAGGCTCCATCCCCAGCAGCCATGCGGATGCAACATCGCCGGGCTCCATCCAGAGGACCTGGCCCTGGCGTCCGTACCATGAGAGTCCCCACGAGCGTCCTCTGGTATTTCAACCTGGTGTTTAGAAGGTAAACCTAGTCCGGGACAATGTAGATGTCTTCCTCTTGAGGGGTTTCAGGAGAAAGGGGCTTCTGGACGTTGCAATAGTGAGACCATGCCTCGTTTCCGTAGACAGGCTCCTCCAAGCGGGGCGGCTGCATGTTCTCGTACAGCCCCTTCCTGCCTTCCTCTGCCAGGGCTGGGCCCACTTCCCAGTTCTCGTAGTCATTGCACAGGTCAGGGTCGCTGGCTGCAGGCCTGTGGGCTTGGGTCCGAGCCGGCACCTTGTACCTTGAGCCGCCACCCTGGCGGCGCAGGGAGAGCGTTTTGGAGTAGTCTCTGCCCCCACGGCCGCCCCTCTGCAGAAACCTGGGGAAGGCAAACTGCCTTGTGTCCCGGCATTTCCGGTACCACGCACACCCGACTCCGCAGGCCAGCAGCAGCAGCAGCAGCAGAAGGGAGAGCCCTACAGAGGTGGCCACAGAGCTGTCCCCGCAGCTCCTGAGCATCTCCGCGCAGACCGTGTCGTTGGCTGGGCCGGTGTAGTTCCTGAAGAATGCGCAGGCACAGCCCAACGGGCTCACTGGCTGAGCGGGCGAGGATTCCGAAGGCTCACCCTTGCACTTCTCTTCCAGGTCTGAACGGACGTCTTGGGGCAAAGAGCTGACACAGCGGGAGGAGAGCCTGAGGGGACGAGGCCCGGAAAGGCGGCTGGCATTGTCGCCTTTTCCTTCTTTGTAAATGCCAGGGAGTGTCTTAGTCCACTCTGCTTCTTTTGCTGAATTGTAAAATGAAGCAGAAATGAATGGAGGATAATAGCAGGACAGAAAGCTCCAGAAAAGGAAGATGGAATGATCTGCCATCAAGAAACCTGCTATAAATTAAAAATATATTAATTGCATATTTATTACATTAGCATAATAAAAACCTGCTCTTTTCTACCAAGACATTAACCACCAGTGTTCAGTCGGCTTCAGTGCATGGCCCACGACTAGTTTTGGGATGACAGAGGTTTGAAAGGACCTGTCCCTGCCCAGGTGTGAGTGGTTTTATCACCTTAAAAATGTTCACATGAAGGACAATGCTTTGAACACAACCAGAGGAAAGGACGAGACTGCTCCTGTACAAGCGTCTCCATGACTACCCTGCTCTGCGCAGCTCCTCTGGGGCTCAGGAACATGCCTTCCAGGTAGCCCCTCCTTCCTCAGGGTGCACGCCAGCCAGCGCGTCTGCTCCGCAGCTGACACCCGAGCCCCCAGCTGGGCCCCCCAGCTGGGTGAATGGTGGGCAGAGGCCGGGCCTGCGCATCTTCCTGCTCCCAGAAAGGAGCAAACCCTCGTGCGTGGAAAAGCGGTCGGCATTCGGGGATGAATAACTAAACAAACAAATGCCTCCAAATCTTAGCACAGAATTGCTTAAGTTGATCATTTAAAACTCAAGGTATGTCTTCTAAACTGTATAGTTTATACTTAAAAGAAGAAAAGAGTTTTGTGACATAAAACAAAATACCTTTGAAAGCCTCCCTATCAAAACTTCCAGCCAGCACCTTTCATTCAATTAAGATAATTTTAGAGTTTTCTTCAATGTCTTAAAATGGCAAAGCATTAGGGAACCAGAAAACATTCAAATAGACTGAATGTTCTATTTTGATTTTATCAACAACATATTGCTGCCTGTTTTCTGCTTACACACAGAAACAGCTACCTCCAATAGTTGGTTTTTGTTAGTTTTTTTGATATGACTGACATATAACAAACATTGTGTAAGTTTAATGTGCTACATGATTTGATATATGCATATATTCTGAAATGATTGCTACCTTAGGGATAGTTAACATTCATTACCTTACATAGTTACAATTTTTTTCTTGTGATGAGAAATTTTAAGATCTACTCTTAGTAACTTTCAAATATGCAACATTGTTAACAATATTGTGAACGGCGCTTGTGAAATGACCGTCACTGGTTGAATGTCATCACTGGTGATATCTAGGTAAGAGCTCACTCTGGGTCACCTCCTGACCTCCTGTGCGTGGGTGGCCTCATGCTGTCCCATGGCTCCCGCGTGGAGTAGATGCCATTGCAGTCCCCACCCCCTTAACGATGAGAAAAGACAAGATTAAAAAGGTTCAGGAACTTCTTTAACAACTAAGATGATACTGAATCAAGATTTAAAGATTACGACTTGCCCCAGATATTATGTTCACCCCAATTTCTGTCAAGGGCTGGCAAGCGCAGGGGTCACTGACTTGGGCGGCTTGTCCATCTCTGAGGTCCCAGGGGGCTGGGGATCTCATCTGCTTTATCTTTATGCCGCCAGCACCAGCACTAGGCACGAGTGGCTGGTTAATTACATGTTTGCTAATGAATGAGCAACCTGCCTCACGGTGACAATAGCAAGGATAGACGGGGAGGGGGGAGCCCACAAAGCGGGGCCCTGCTGCCAGGGAGCAGCCATGTCTGAGAGGCTTGTCCAAATTGTTTGTGGTTAGACTACATCAATGTGCAAACTGTCAAGTTGGCACTGCAGGTGAAATACCAAATTAAATATGAGACGCAGTTAATTTATAAAACTTATCCGGTAAAACAGCAGGGACAGGTCTCTCAGCTCGAGATGTGTTTTCCCGTCTCTGTACAGCCAGACACAAGGCCTGTGTTCAAGGACAGAGGTCTGGCAATGACTGTGACTGGTTGGGACGCATTTCCTTCCTGAGCAGGAGAACCCGTCATATCTGATGTGTTTTATGTATAAATACGTATTTAAGTAATTATTGGCCAGCATATTTGAACTAAATTTCAAATTGATTGAAATTTATCAACTTTTTCCAAGGTGCCAGGCCAGCATCTGACGCGGGCAGGGCTGGCCGCTACCCCTGAAGAGGAGGGGTAAACCGCTCCCTCAGTGTCCCGGGGGAGAACTTGCTTTACCGTCTATGTTGTTCTATGTGGAATAGACATTCCAGTCCATCCACAGCATTAAAGTTGTTTATCAAAGAGCTGTTCAGTTAAAGAGAAGAAGACTTTTTACAAGGAAATAAATGCAGCCTATCATTCCTTCAAACTAGCTTTGTAGGAAAAACTCTGCAATACCTGAACAAAGACCTAGTTTTTAACAAAAAACAGATGTTAAACAAAAGCCATTCAAATATAGCTCAAAACCTAAATAAGCTTCACTTCTCCCAATCTGGAACAAGACTTTTTGGTTTTGTTTTGGAAAATAGTTCCAACAGGTTACCTAACAGTTATTCGTTTGTCTTAAAATTACAAACTGTTGATAAATTTCTGGAATCTTCAAAGTTGGATTCTGCCCTTCTGTTTGCAACCAAGGCACAAGGCATGAGCCTGCACTGTGAGCACACGCCCTGTAAAGAACTGTTAACACCGCCCTGTTTGTAAATTGCTCCCGCCACCTCTTCCTAAGGCCACCAAAAAACTGTGATAAGATAAAGAAAATCACTGATTATTAAACGTGAACCTGCTTCTTAAAGTTTCCACCCGCCACGCGAGCCCCCGTCTCGCTCACCTGGGCGTGGTGTGCCGAGGGGGCTCCTCCGGTCCTGGGCCGCGCTCTGAACCTGCTTCGGTTTGGAGCCTGTTCCTCTTTTCACGTTGGCCACTTTCGTCCTTCTCGCCTCCTCCTTTCAGGTTATTTCGCACTTGCAAAACTTCCTGGCTTTAGAGGAAGTTATCAGATGCAGCAGAACTAAGACAACGGACATGAGCATTTGAAAGATAAAGTCCAGTGCTTCACCTTCACCAAGAAATAATTCTCACTCTACCGGAGAAGGATGCATGAGGCCTGGACAGTTGTTGCATTTGAGCAACCTTTGCAGCCCTCCCTTTGGAATCAACCTGCCATTCCACTTGCTCGTCAGTTTTTAAAAAGGAAGGCCTTTGAATGCAGCAGCGCACAGGCCTTGCGTCCATTCCCTTGGGGGCCTGACGGCTGGACAGTCCCCGTTGCAAACGCTGTGCCCCGGTGCCCGGGTCAGCCCGCACTTGTCAAGCCAGCGACCCAACGGGGATTCAGAAAATGTTCTGAATATTCTCTGAAATTGATGCTAAGAAGCTCCCAAAGCACATTGTCGGTCGCACTCTCCCTCCGGGATTTTCTCTAGGCCTCTCCTTGGGGAAGTGTGTGAAACGCCCCCGACTGAAGGCCTGCCACGCCGCGCGCACTGCTGGCGAGGCGGGCGTCGGCGGCGCGCAGGCAAGGCGGAGCCAGGGCCTTCCACCCGCTGCGCACTGTCCCTCCATAAATCCCGGCCACGGCCCGTGGACAGGCCCGCCGGCTGTCCCCGCGTCAAGGCCGCAGCCGGGCCCGCGGCGGCCTGCGCCCCTCCGGCACCCGTGGGCCCAACCGCAGCCCTTGGGCTGCCTCGCGAGGGCGGGGGACACGCTTCCACCCGGAAACCCTCTTTCCAGCATCTCTCGGACACAACCGCGCGGAAGACAGAAATGGGAGCCGGCGGACTAGGCAAGTGAGAGGAGGGACATCTCGCGGATGCACAGCAGGCGAGCGCAGGACTCGCGTGGCGCGCCGCGTGCAGCCGCTGCGCGGGTCTGGGCGGTGGTGCTGGCCCGGGTTTCCCCGGAAAATTAGGGCCGTTCCGGAGCCCTTTTTGCTTTAGATTTTCTACAGATAAACAAAGTGGACGAATAGTGCCTGGCTCGTTTCTCTAGATGGACATTTTTTTAGGTAACAGAATCATTCTCTGAGTTCATAGAACAAATGCTAGGTATTTCCAAAGCAGAGCGATTGCATGGTGACCGGGTGCGGCTCGGGGTTCCGACCTGAGGCCGGCATCTCCCCGGTTTCCTGCCGGGGCGCGGGGGCCCGACGCTGCCGCGTCTTCTGCGTCGGACTCCTCGCCGCGGCCGCCGCCCGGGCTCTCGGTCCCGCGTTCTCTGCGGTGGCGGTGGCAGAGCCCAGGAGGTGCTTTTTCCTCTGCAGTGATTTGAACAGTTTGTATCCAGATAACCCTCCCTCTCCTATTCGTGGACGAACAACCCCTTTATTTCATTGAGATTTAAATTATTAGCAACTTCTTCTGTGTCTGTTGCTATGTTTAACAATTTTTTTCAGATACTAGAAACGAGTCTCAGGGACAAATATCTGTGTACAGGGCCAACTGGAAGCATCGTCCTCGTTGTTCTCGAAGGCGCCCCAGACTCCGTGCCGGTGATGACGGGCGCGGTGGAAACTGAGGCTCAGGCCCTGGGACAGGGGGCGCGCGGGGCCGCCGGCGAGCTCGCCAGCGCCGGTTGTTTGTGGGATGAGCCGGAGTCGAACGGACTGAGTCGCTGGGCCAAGGAGATAGGACATTTCAAGGCGAGGAAACGGAGCAGCCAAAGAGCAGGAGCGAAGGCAGGGCCGCGAGGAGGTCGAACCGCAGCCGCCGTCTCTTCGGCTCATGGGAGGGCTGGTCCTACTGGCCGCTGGCAAACGTCGATCCCACGGTTCTGACGGGGTGGGAGGTGGATTTTAGTCCAAGGGATCTCGGGTGGTGTTTAGTCAGGGGTTCATT